GTGAATGTGAGTGTTTGTGTGTGAGTGTGTGAGTGTGAGAGTGTGAGTGTGTGAGAGTGTGAGTGTGTGAGTGTGAATGTGTGAGTGTGTGTGAGTGTGAGTGTGTGTGATAGTGTGAGTGTGAGTGTGAGTGTGTGTGAGTGTGAGTGTGTGAGAGTGTGAGTGTGTGTGCACGCATGTATGAGTGTGCCCACTTATGTACATGCACCGTGTGCTGAGAGTATTAGCTGCAGCATGGGAAGTCTGGGGCTCAGAACCTGTCTTGCTCCTTGCTGTGGGTCCCACACGAGACTGTAAATGTCTCTGAGATGAGCAATGGTGAAGTCACCAAGGAGCTTGCATCTTTGAGAACCAGAGGGTTGGTTGTGTCTTCACAGAGCTGTTGTAGGGCAGGAGGAGACAGCAGCCTGGAGTTCTTGCTGGTGTCAGGACTGACTTGTGTCAGGGTGGGCAGGGCACACGGCAAGTCACTGTCCTTTCAGGGAGGCCCCAGTGTGAGTTACACTGTGGACTTTATAGGCAGTCCGTGTTGGAGGCCCCCTTGTAAACAGTGTTGCATTAACAGGCACATGTTACTACTGGACCATTCTGGAAGGCTGCAAAGCAAAAGGCCAGGGTAGACAATGTAGCACTGCAGAGTAGGTCAGTCCCTGCAACACTCCCTTGGTCTGTATTTACCAAATGCAGCTAACAGCTGTCCTGAGTTCTAGTTTATGAGTGCCCTGTCTAGGACCTTCAGTACTTTCTTGATTTGCTCTGTATTAGTTCTTCTTATCCTGGCTTTCTGCATTGAAAGAGTAAAGGGAAAAATCTACATATCATCGTTTTATTATGTTTGTAAGAGCGTTTGATAAACTGCAGTATAAATATGATTTAAAAGGCTAAAAATAAAAGCAAATCCTTTCTTCTCCTCGCCCTCTTTCCTTCCTCTTCTTCCCCTTTCCCTCCCCCGCCCCCCCCCCGTCCTCTCTCCCCTCCCCCTCCCCTCCCCCTCCCTCCCCTCCCCCTCCCTCCCCTCCCCTCCCCCTCCCTCCCCTCCCCTTCCCCTCCCCTCCCCCCTCCCCTCCCCCTCCCCTCCCCCTCCCTCCCCTCCCACCCACTCTTCTCATCCCATCACTGTCCTCTCCTCTTTCCTTCTAATTTTGACTGTGTAGCCCAGGCTGACCTTGAACTCACAATCTTCTTGCTTCAGCATGTGATAGGATTAAGAACATGTGCTTTGGCACCCAACTTGGGAGTTTCTTTAACTTTATAAAATGCATTTTGCAAAATCCTATAATAAGCATATACAATAGGAAACGTTAGAATGTCTTTGAAGTCAGGATTACGACAGGAATATTCATATCTGCTCTTTCTCCTTGGCATTAAATTAATGTCTTAGCCCGTGCAAAGTTTCTTTCAGTAAAGAGATGCACAAAGATGATTAGAATTATGTATTCATACTGGTTAAAAAAATACAAAACTCAAGAGGCTGGAGAGATGGCTGAGCAATTAAAAGCACTGGCTGCTCTTCCAGAGTACCTGTGTGATGGTTCATAAACATTTCTAACTCCAGGTCTGGGAGAGGAGATGATATTTTCTGGCCTCCATGGGTACCAGGCACACACTCGTGATACACAGACATACATGCAGACAAAATACCCATAAGCCTAAAGTAATTAAGAAAAAATAGAAGTTAGGGTTAGTGGCACAGACCTGTCCTACCAGCCACTCGGAGTTGAGGCAGGAGGATCACACACACACACACACACACACACACAGACACACACACACACACACCACACATATACACACAGAGACACACACACACAGACAAACACACACACACTCGCACACACACAGAGAATGGGAATATTATCTCTGACATTACACACTAATACTATAAAACTTATCTACACAGAACATTTAATTGAATTAATGGCAAATAATTTTATAATGAGATCATCTGATATGGAGGATCAATTTGTAAATGTAATTATATTTTGTAAATTGCAACAACCAGCAAATATACCTTAAAAAGGATGTACCAAGCTTTTTCTTTTGGGCCACCAACCAGGAAAGGGAGCTAGGGGCTGGAAAGATGGCTCAGTGGTTAGCAATGTTTACTGCTCTGGCAGGGCCTGAGTTCAGTTTCCAGCAGCCACACAGCAGCTCACACCAACTGTAAGACGAGTTCTGGGGATCTGAAATCCTCCTATGGCTTTTGCAGGCTTCCAAATGCTTGTGGTGCACATAGGTACACTCAGGCGCGCACACACACACACACACACACACACTCTAAATTGAGTAAACATGAGTAAACAGAAGATATCCCATGTTCATGAACAAGGGGAAATAACAAAAAGAAGTGTTGGTTCGATCTCAGTTGATCTAAAAATTCAATGCCATCTCTACCAAAGCCCTATCAGGGTTTCCATGGAACTGGAACTTGACAAGCTGATTTGTGGAAAGAATAAAGGGACAAGATAGAATATACAGGTGATTTCTCAGGAACAGTCAAAGGCTTGAGGACTCAACTTATCAGGAATTAGACATTATGAAGCTACAGAAACAATGTGTTTGTATAAACTGACCTATGTTTGGCTAGAGAGACAGAAACAGATCACGAGGCATGCGAAGCCTTGTGAACTAAGGTGGAATGGAAGGGGCTGGGAAAAATAAGGATCAATAAATAGAGCCCATTGAGAAATTTGAATTTCCTTTTGACACTGTGATGTACAATTCAGTGCCTAATAAACGGTGAGCTTGCACATCAAAAGTAAAAGATTCCACTTTTACCAGAAAGGAGGACACACCCTTCTGGGCTGCAAACGGTTCATCTTTTCTGGGTGCTTCCTCTGTCTGGTCACATTTTCTGGCTTTATATATATATATATATATATATATATATATATATATATATATAATTATACATATATATATATACATTATATATACATGTAAATAAACACACATTATATATACATATATGTATACTTACATACACATATATGTGTGTGTGTGTCTGTACCACATTTGTACCTGATGCTGGTAAAGGATGTCAGGTCTCCTGGGACTGAAGTCACACATGGCTTCCTCATGGGTGCAGGAACTCAAACCTGGGTCCTCCGGAAGAGCAGCCTTCACCACAGAGCCATCCCTCCAGCCCTTTGGGATTTTATTTTTTAACCTGCCTGGATACATAATTCTAATCATCTTTGTGCATCTTAATGTTTATCTTGCTCTGTTCTGTTGGTTTCCTTGTGCAAGGACTCCAAACAGCCCCAGAGCTCACTGGCAAGCTCAAGTGAAGGAAGGTGGAGAAGGTAGGAGCCAAAGCAGGGGTCTGTTATGGTCAGACAAACCCTGGGTCTGGCATTTCAAACAGAGACGAAGACCACTGTGAACTCTCTGAAGAGTCCCAGGGCCTTGGCCCATCCTCTTTAAAAGCACGTTTGTCTCCAGCAGCCCGCAAGGTGACGGGTGGAGCGACGCTTGATAGGGGAAGTCAGACCCTCAGGGTCTGAGAGCTGGGATTAACTGAGGCCCCCAACTCTGCACAAATGACAACATTTCTGTTTAGGGAAACAGAGTGGCATCTGGCCTGAGCGGTTTCCTCCAAGGTTTTGGATTTGACTTTGGAGCTCCTGTCTGAGGAGCATTCCCTTCCTTGGTATTCTTTTGATTCCTCCTCCCATGACATTGTAACACATTCAAGAGTTGTATACCTCAATCCTAGTGCAAGCAGCATGGAGAATGGGTATTGCTTGTACCTGTTCACACAGGCGATTATATGTTTCCCACAACACTACAGACTCCTATTTTTGTTTTTAAAATTCATACTTTTACTTAATTTTATGTAGATGGGCATTTTGCCTTCATGTATGTCTGTGTACCGTGTGTTTGCATTGCCCGTGGAGGCCAGAAGAGGGCTCGGATCCTCTAGAACTGTAGTTACAGTTCAGAGCCACCATGTGGGTGCTGGGAATCGAACTTGGGTCCTCTGTAAGAACAGCCAGTGCTCTTGACTGCTGAGCCATCTCTCCAGCCCCCTTTTGGTTTTCCAAAAGCTTTCACTAAACTCTAGTCATTGTGGATTTTCTAGATTATAGATGTGTTCATTCGCTTTCTGTTTAAAACCCATTCCTGCCCGTCTGCTGGTCCAGGAGGACGGTTCACCCCCCCCCCCCCCCGTCCCGTGGCCCCGTTTCCCTGAACACACTTGGTGGGTTCTCTTCGCTCATTGTGCCTGCTCTTCCCGTTGTCTGGGTCTCTGCGTTTTTTAAGTTACTGGCTACTTTAAGTTCCTCTGTCAGTTTTCTCTACTCTGGCATCACTCGATTGGTCCCTTGCACTCCTGTAGCTCCCAAGGGCTTGCAATGCTTCAAATACTATGTTTGGAGGCTGGAGAGAAGGCTCAGCAGTTAAGTGGCTGCCCTTGCAGAGGACCTGAGTCCCAGCAACCACATGGTGGCTCACAACCATCTCTAATGGGATCAGATTCCTTCTTCTTGTGTGCATGAAGACAGCACACATTAAATACAGGAGTAGATAAATCTTTAAAAAAAATATGTTTGACTGTTACATGGTTTTCTCCTTCACCAAACTCTGGGTTTCGTGATGGGAGGGACTGGCCTTTGTTTGCCATCATGTTTCAAATGAACTAAAATACAACACCTGCCATACATTAGCTCCCATTCACTGCTGAGTGCACCAACATCCCCATATGGCAAGTGTCGGAGCGCTCACACCTCTCCCTTTCTGGGGAGGGAGGAGGGGAGGGAAGAGTGAGGGTAAAGGTTCACAGAGATGCAGTGCCTGATGGGAGAACCTGAGCTGGAGCCTGGCTTCCCCCAGAGAAAAGTACCGAGCACTGGAATTTTCTGCATTGCTGTCTTGGGTGAAGACAACAGGCCACCAGAGGCACAGTTGTGGGCGGCTTAAGTCCATCGACTCGTGGACGATGTGCGGCTGGGCTTGCTAATGCGGGGTCTCTCTTTTCTCCTCTCTTCTGCTCATAGCGTCAAGCTGAGCCCTCAGCCCACTGTGCAGGCCCAGGATGAGGAGCAGAGCCAGAGGACAGTCACTGTGAACCCTGCCCACATGGGGAAGGCCTTCAAGGTCATGAACGAGCTGCGAAGGTACTTCCCCCCTCCCCAGGTGGACCCTGAAGGGTGAGCTTCGTCAGGGGCCGAGAAGTTGGGGCTTCCTGGCTCACACTCAGTCTGCCCCTTTTTAGACTCTGACACTGAAATCTCTCCCTTTATGATTATTTAATATCTACATTTCAGTGATTAATCACAGGAGGTACTCATCAGTGGTTAGAGCAGGTCTGTGGCTAAACCTGAGAGCGATGTTGGAATGATTGAACACTGATACACAGTTGCAGGCAAGAGATGGTAGGTGGCACACTGTTTAGCTTCCCTCCATCGTCCTTGACCAAGTCTGGCTTGGGAAGGCAGCCACACAAATGGCGGAAGATGCCTGTCCTGAAATGTACGTGTACTCTGTAGGGAAAGATATGAAATGTGAGCACATCGCACCCCGAGCTGAGTGGTGAGGGCACGGGGCCGTTTGCAAGGCCGGTGTGTGTGTTTGGCAAGCGTGTTGTGTTGTGGGATGGGTTCTGGGCACTGAATGTGTTTTCCTGGAGAAAGCCACTGTGCACTGGGCCCTGGTGGGCGGTGGCCGTGAGGTCAGGAGTGTCAATGGTTGTGACCCTCTTAGAGCGAGCGTGCTAGGGAGTGAGATACCAGGCCTGGCACGTTTTGTCTTTTAAAGGGCTAAGTAGGAGCAAGGATGGAAATGGACTTTGGAGTTGCAGGTGACATTTGAGCTGAATTTTGAAGGCCAAGTAAGAGTTAAGGACACAAAGGGAGGGGGTTAGGGAGGAGATGTCCAGGCAGAGGAAATGGCATAGGCTGAGAGAGATGTTTGCTGAGCAGGGACTGACCATATTCAAACAGGCGTTCTAGTCCATTCTTGTAGAAACCCTTTTGAACTTTATCATTGTCTGTGCGTGCGTGCGTGTGCATGCGCGTGCATGCGTGCGTGTGCGTGTCTGTGTGTGCGTGTGTCTGTGTGCGTGTGCATGCCTGTGTGCGTGCATGTGCGTGCGTGTGCGTGTGTGTGTGCGCGTGTGTGTGTGTGTGTATCGATATGTTTGCAGAGACATGTGTTACGAGTAGGCTTTTCCCTGCCTGTCCGTCTGGTCCCACAGCCATGCCAGCCCCAAATAACACACAGAGACGCTGTATTAGATATAAAGCTGTTGGCCTGCTCTGTCTTAAACATTAACCCATTTCTTTTAATCTAAGTGTTTCCATGTGGTCTCGCCTTACCGGAGAGAGGGGCCAGCGTTCTGCTCTCTCCAATTTCTCCATGTTGACTCCTCCTTACTCCTTCCTCTCTCCTCCTAGTCTCCTAGTCCCGCCTATCTTGCTTTCCTATTGGCCAACAGTGCTTTATTCATTAACCAATAAGAGAAACATATTCTCATCAGACATGTTTGTGTTACAATGTGCATCTGTATGTACACGTGTGTGCATGTGTGTATTGTGCACCTGTATGGGTGTCTGTGTCACAATGCACATTTGGGAATCAGAGGACAGTTCTCAGTTCTCTCCTTCCCCCTTTCTGTAGGTTCTGGGGATTGAACTCAGGGTGTCAGGGTTACACGGCAAAGTCCTTTACCAGTGAATCACGTCTCCAGTCCTGAAGTTCTCATCTATTTTCTAATTTCTCCTTCCTGCATGGTTTAGTATTTAGTACACACACACACATGCCATACGCATACATGCCATACACACACATACACACATACACACACATGCCATATACACACACGCCATACACATACACACATGCCATACACACACACATGCCATACACACACATGCCATACACACACATGCCATACACATACACACACATGCCTCACACACATACATACACACACATGCCATACACACATACATACACACACACACACCACAACACCACACATACACACAACACCACAATACACCACACACACGTCACACATACACCCCCCACATCACACACACACATACACACCACATATACACACACACACATGCCATACACACATACACACACATGCCATACACACATACACACACACACCACAACACCACACATATACCACACACATACATACACACCACATTCACACACACACCACACACACATATATCACACACACATACATACACACACACACTTAAATTTTGCAACACATTTGATATTGTTCAATTTGTATTAGGCCTCCTGCCAGATTCCCTGGAAAGTCTGGGAACTTAGGCAGTGGAGAGGGATGGAGGCCACGTCCATGGATCCGGATCTGCTGTCACTGAAGAATCTCTCTGGAGTTTCCTAGACGCTGGTGGATCCTTGGGTACGGATCATGTCAGTTACCTGCTTGAGGAGCTTTCTCACCAGGTTCACATTTATCTTCCAGTTTCTCCTACCTCACCCGCAGCCACCACACCCTGCCTTTTAGACTTCCATATCACCTGGCGCCCTGTGCTTCCCGGACTTCACATCTTTCTCCACAAGCGTCTTCTTGATCGGGGTCTAACTCTGCCCGGGAGTCGGACTGTTCCTTCTCCTTTTAGGGCTCAACCAACACCCTAGGAATGCTAGCTCCTTCTAGACACTGGGAAAACAGAGTCTTGTCTTCAGGCCTGACAGTGTACGTAGGTTATCAAAGCTCTGCTGAGCCAGACCGGACACTTCCCACACGTGCTTCGCTGGGACTCACGTTAGTGTTTAGGGGAACACTGGTCCTAGAGCCGCAGTCACTGAGATGTAAATGAATGACGTTGTCCTTTCTCTCTCTGCTTTGTTCAAATGGACCACATCCTGCTTACATTTGAAATTTTTAGTTCAGGCGTACACATGAGTTGTTTCTGTCTCTGTGTTCCTCTCTGGGCTGTACTTATTGCAGCAGAACATTTAGGAAATGTAGATGATCAAAAAAAAAAAAAAATCACATATAGAGATAGCTCACTGGTTTAGAGCACTGGCCGCTGTTGCAGAGGACCAGGGTTCAAATCCAAGCACCCATAGGACAGCTCACAACTACCTGTAATTCCAGTTCCAGGATGCCTGACACCCTCTTCTGGCCTCTACAGGCACTGCACACACAGTGTGCACAGACATACATCTAGTCAGAACACCCATGTACATAAAGTAAAGATAAAGGTTATTTTTTTTAAAGTTACATATATTTTTGTTAGTGACCTATTGGTGGAGCTGTGGTGATCACTTCCTCTTCTTTGGTATGTTTACAGATCCGACTTCTCTCTTAGTTCTATCCTTGAACAATTTTTCCCCCAGCATCAATCAAATGGCGAGGTGGTATCCACTTTTGGCGTATTTAAAATAAAAGCCAATTCCCTGCTGATGGATGCTACCATTTCCTAATGCCTCACATGAAAACCCACTCTCAGCAGTAACTGTCCATCAGCCTGTCCATCTCACAAGCACAGACACCTGCATCAGTATTGGTTCTACTAACCGTGTGGCCCTGGGCAACTTAATCTCCCTGATCTCAGTTTTTCCAACCATAAACAGAGGACACACTACTACTATGACTACTACTGCTAAAAATACTATTCTTGCTGGGCTGTTAACAGTGTTAACAGCACTGTTGTAGCTGTTAAATATGTGTGCATCATAGCACTTACGTTTATAGGATCAATTCCTGGAAACAGAGTAGATTCAGCAGCCTGGAAGACTTCCTGCTGAGGCCTGGCCCATGAGCCTTCTGTCACTGACAGTTTGACAAACAGTAGCCACTGTGTTTGGTTGCAGATGTAGGGCAGTGGGTAAGATTATCCAAGCCTTGCCCCTGGGGGAAGCCTGTGTTCTTGTGGTATTGAGAGGCAACATCAAGTCCCAAGGTATTCAAAGGCTGTCTTCTGAAAGCGGAGTAGATGGGCAGGGCAGGGGGAAGGGCCTGCACCCCTCACTGATTGGGTGACTTTCACGGGATTTCAGCGGAGAGTGGAGAGCGGGCAGGCGGGCTTGGCTCTGCTGGGATGATGCTAATGAAGCACCCTGGAGTACCCAGGGGCCTGGCTGGTGTCTCCACACTCCCCTCCCTCACTTTTGAGCTATTTTAGTTCAAGCACACATGCTCTTTGCAGTTCATGAGTCACGCAACTCCTGAGTGTCCCTACTCTTTTTGCCTCTGTTGTGGAGGATGAGCCGTTGGCATGACAACCACCCAGCCTTGCTCCTCTGCCTTTCAGGCATTGGTTCTGACTGGCGCCCGCCCGGTGACTCTGGCTCCTGATCCTAGAGACCACAGGTAGTGGAGACTAGTCCTTTCCCAAACGGTTCCCCCTGACCAGGCCTGAGAGAGGGGAGCAGGGAGCATGGAGCAGCCGGCCAGCGTTTAGGATTCTCTCCCGCCCTTTCTGCTGGAGGTTGCTCATTCTTGCTAAGGATGCATCCTTTCACTGAGCAGCACCCAGCCCCAGCCCCTGGATAGTTTCCATCACCATCTCGATTGCTGCAAACAGTTCTATGCCTGTTAAAAATTATTGGTGTGTGTGTGTGTTCCTGTATGTATGGGTGCAAGTGTGTAAGGTGTGCATGCATGTGCATGTATGTGCACTTAGAGGCCAAAAGACAACTCCAGGTGTCTTTCCTCAGGTACCACTCAACTTTCTTAGAGATAGGGTCTCAATGACCTGGAGCTCACCTCGTAGGCTAGGCTAGCTGGCCAGTGGGCCCCTAAGAGATTTTCTTGGAATTTCAAGTGTGTGTCCCCACGCCTATTTTTAGTTTTGTTTTTTTAAATTTATTTTGTAATGTGGGCTTTGGAGACCTAGGACCTGCCTATAAGGCAAAAACCTTACCCACCAACCCATCTTCCTTCCAGTTCTATTTTTGAGTTTTTGACTCTTGTAGCCCAGGCTAGACTCAAATTCCTGGTCATTTTGCCTCTATCTCCTGAGTGCTAGGGTTATAGGTGTGTGTGGCCACACTGTCTTTTATAACGATTTGCAGCTCCTCCGTGTTGTAGTATAGCTCAGCATTTTTTTTTCTTTCTTTTGGACAATAAATAGTATTTCATCCTGGCCTTTGCCTATGATGAGCGCTGCTTGCT